TTGTGTGATCGCTATATCCCATTGTATGCTGCCATGTACGGTATCAGGAAAACGGAAAATTGTATACTTACCTATCGGTAATTTTCCTTTCCTGATGCCAGTACATGGCAGCATACAGGACCCTCCCATGGCTTTCGCATTGAGTACTTGTTACGAGAATGGTGGCCTTGGGAGGCGGGCTTTAATTTATAGTATAACTGGTCCTGTATATATATATATATATATAGATAGATAGATAGATAGTACCTGATATGAACTTATTTTCCAGGAATCTTCCAGGGCAGCCGAGTAGAGACAGGATTCACCCACCTACAAACAGGAAACACATCATCCACAATTAAAATAAAAGGCGGTGCCGCCCCACGACCTCAGTTTTACAATAGAACCAAAAGGCGGAAGGACCACCAGATTGTTAATATAAAAAACACCATTTTAAAACACACCCCTCAACAAGCATGGCAGGAATCCCTGCTGCCCTGGAAGATTTCTGGAAAAGAAGTTACCAGGTACCTAACTTGTATTTTCTCCAAGTCATCTTCCAGGGCAGGCCAGGAGAGAATAAGCGAGAAACATACTTTTTCAGGAGGGGGACAACTGCCCACAGCCTCCTCCCTGTCAAAAGTCTGAACTCAGCAGGAGAGGAGGGCAACTCTGTGATGCAGCACAAGAGATTTGCAGTGGACCCATTGGCTTCCTACCAGATAAGCTCTAGTAAAATAACACTAGGTTTCTCTTACTAACGTGACTAACGCCCTATTAGAGAGTGCCATGACAATGGATAACATAAGTCACCAGGCATCGGTGTTCTGATGCTTTGCAGCCTTCCTTAGGCCCTGAACAGGCCAAATATTCTTGGATTTCCTCCCAGGGTGGCTTACTTCCAGGTAGGGGACACCTTTTCAAAACCGAGATGAACAAGAGCTCAATGCATGGGATAGAGTAAAAAGAGGCATGGTTAACCTCCTGTATTCTATCCCTGTCTTACAACAACCCCCAAGCTACCAATTGTCCAGGAGCGGCACACCGGGATTACCCGACAGCAGACTCTGGAGTGCACATAAATAGAGCTTCTGCCCCCAACATTATTCAGGCTAATGCTGTGTACTAGCTTGAACGCAAATATATACACAGCATAAACCGCAAGTGGCAAGTTTGGATGTAACCTTAAACTGCCAACTGTCTTATACAGTTGCCAGTTTATCAGTGTGGTGTAAAATAGATGCCAATTATATAAGGACACGTTCTAATATCCTGGGTGCCCAAGCAGCAACTAGCGGCTGTAAATGAGTTACTGAAAGTTTAATGATTTAACATGGATGCCTGATAAAAGTGGGAAATCATGTAACAATGACTCTGTGAGGCCAAGGGGACACAAACAAAATGCTTAAGCGCCGCACTAAAACATGCAAAGGGTTGAGTGTTGCCATAAAAAAATAGGCTGCAAGGAATGCATAGATGACCCAAGCCATCACTGAACCTAACCACCTAGTAATGTACCAGAACTGAACAAGGGGTTACTATCCTGGTGCAGTTTCAAATATGCACAAGTACCCCACATGACCGGGCTTGGTGCTATACAACTTGCTACCACCAAAAAAAGGCTTGCCTGTAAAACGTTTGTAGTTGCAACCCAAATGGACTTCACTACACTGGTGCTACACAGAACTAAGTATTGTAAAGTTATACCATTGCCTAAAGTATGAACTCAGGGAACACTTCAATACTGAGATTCATATCTACATCATAAACTAAAGCAGTAAATTAGTCATCTTGTAGATTGTATAAGTATACAATGTAGAGATGAACTATGATTAAATATCTATACAATGAGATTCATAATTACATCATTAAAAAAAATGTCGTCATCCACGCAGTAAATAGATTATCCTGTAGCCGTTAAATAGTTAATTTTAAATGCACAAGTACGAATTCAGATGATGATGCAATTACTGAGATTCATAGCTATATCACAAATAATAATGCTTTTACCAGGCTGTAATCAGTTATTTCGGAGACAGTACAGCAATACCAATACTTAAGGAATGCACAATACTGAGATACATAACTACCTCATGAACTAATTATGCTTTCACTAAAGCATTGGTTTGGTTATTTCAGACACAGTATAGTAATACCAATACATTAGATATGCACCATACTGAGATTCAAAACTACAGTGGGGCAAAAAAGTATTTAGTCAGCCACCAATTGTGCAAGTTCTCCCACTTAAAAAGATGAGAGAGGCCTGTAATTGGCATCATAGGTAGACCTCAACTATGAGAGACAAAATGAGAAAACAAATCCAGACAGATCTGCATGGAGGAATGGGCCAACATACCAGCAACAGTGTGTGCCAACCTTGTGAAGACGTACAGGACACGTTTGACCTCTGTCATTGCCAACAAAGGATATATAACAAAGTATTGAGATTACCTTTTGATATTGACCAAATACTTATTTTCCACCATAATTTGCAAATAATTTCGTTCCAAATCAGCCAATGTGATTTGTCTGGATTTGTTTTCTCATTTTGTCTCTATAGAGAATAGAGAAGATAAGGAGAAAAAAAAAAAAATCATACCGCCAGTGAAACGCGCATTTCACTGAACGGAAAAACATGCCTGTGAGCAAAATGTAGATGGAAGAAAAAATAGGATTTTTGTACTCACCGTAAAATCCTTTTCTCTCCGTTCATTGAAGGACACAGGGCAACAGATCGTAGATCCTGAATGGTAGGGTATATCGACACCTGCAGGAGTAGGACGCTAGGCACATAACTAAAAGACAAGACAGCCTAGGGGCGGCCCCTGCTGGTGGCCCAAACCCTCACTTGCTGACAAGTCTCCAGTAAGTAACAGGAGTGAATTGTGAATGAGCGCTAAAAGTATGCCAGGTCTGAAACAGGAATAACTTACCTTGCAAAGGCAGGATTCCAGGTCACCTTGCAAAGGCATCAAGGGTGGTGAGGACCCCTTCTTATCGATTTGCTAGGGAATGCACAGAAGTGGAAAATAACTTAGAGAAAAGCCTTCTTGAAAGAAGATAATCTTATGGGTGATGATTATGGAAGATTTTAGTAGAGTGCATTGGCTTTCAGGAACCAAAAACAGTCCCTATATTCTTGGCTGAGATGTTGGGGTTTTCAACTTTAAAATCTAAACCCCAAGTGTGAAAAAAATATGCAGTACCTTAATTTCAAAGTATCCAATGGTGGCACTATCCCTGCACCTCTGTCTGTAAAAAATGAGAGTAAAATTCCTTTTTAAAAGGGTTGCCACCACATTTCTGCCGATTGGGTGACAATGCTGCATTTGCTCATGGTGTATGCAGAGCTAGTGTTGGCAATATAATTAGCACACTCCTGAGATAAAACTTCAAGTGGATGTGCCAATGCAAAGAACACCAACACGTCCACTCTGCTCTAGGTGGCAACACTATCAGCCTGCCTCCAGACTACCCATCAGCCTCAATATGGACATATCTGGGATTGTTTTCATACCATTCTTCTGTTTATCAGCTGTGAAGAATGACAAGGGAGAGAGAGAAAGATTACAAAGTCATGCTCTTTCTTTGCCTGTGTGTGGTGCTAAAACTAGTACTAGTTGTTGCCACTGGAGAAAGAACCAAAGATCGATCTTAGGCGGAGGGAGGGGGTGGAGAAGAGCGGTTCAGAGAAGGGCCTGCAAGCATCACAGGGAATAGCCCTTCAGGTTGCAGACAGAAATGGAAAATATAAGTATGGATGTGGGAATCAGCCAGTGTCAGCATGGATTTTGGCTCACTTTGTGTCACACATGTTGCCAAGATTAGGAAACAGCCTTAAGGTTACAGGTGGTGTGCCTTTGAATGTCACACATAAATAGAAGTTTAACCACAAGCTCTTCACCTGGGCCATTCAGTAGCATAGGGGTAAATGTAGATAAGATCAAACATCTTATCCCCTGAGAAAGATCCATGTTGCCAAGCTGTTTAAGTACTCACTAAGGTGTATGGCAGATGGAGTTGTGTCCTGTATTCTGCTGTGTAGTATGTAGACTGAAGGCGTAAACTATGTATAGAGCCCAACTGTACCATTGTACAGCAAGCCCCACCCACTTCTAAGTCTACACCTGAACAGATGCCCTCAGGAAACTTTACAGAAACTTTTAAAAGAACCACCGTCCTAAAATGCCAGCAGAAATAGCAGGAAATGCACAGAAGAGAAAGTTAAAAAAAAAAAAAACAAGGTCCAGGGAAAAAAATAAAAAGAAGTTAGAGACATTTCTACAGTGTGTAACCAAATCTGGGGTCCAGTATTTTACAGAGGCCATCACAGTGAATTTCCAAATTTGGTGGTCCATTATGACATGGCAAACAATGGTGGTTTCTAGGGTTATTATATAAAATACTGGAGTCTGGTATTACACTGCCAGAAGTGCAGAATTCTTCAATGCCAGCAGATATAGCAGAGCTAGGAAGAGAAATTCCACCAAGTCAGGTCACTCTGCTGAACTGAGCTCATACAGTACAGAGGTATAGCCGCTAGATATGACTATGCGTTTTGCCATCTTCCAGAGGCGGCACCTATTACCATAATACTGTGTCCCCCAATGAAGAAATGCATGTTCCTGGCTCTCTGTCTTCAATACTTTACCAACCTGTAGCAAACAAACATAGCACCAGGGGTAAGTCAGTACTGCTCATCTTTGCTAATACTTGTTCTAGTTATGTGCTTCAGAACATTTTAGACATTTGATCAGCATGAGAGCCAGGCAACTGGCATTTTCCTCAGGGGGCAGCAATAGTGGCCTCCATGTTCACATGGAACATGTTTCCTTTAAGTGCAAACTGCTCCAATCCTGAAGCTGCCCAGTACTTTAATTTTATAAAAGTGAAGAAGACTTAGGGTATTGCTGCTTGATTGGTTACATCTGAGGCTTTACTTAGAATAGTATAGTCATATATTATATCAGAAAAGTTAAAAAAAACATGAGTTGCTTTTAATATAGGATTGTGCCCACCTGTTACAAAGCTGAAAAGTGATTGTATATGCGCTCTGTCTTTAAAATAAGATCGACTGAGACCATTCCAGATGACATCAGCAACTCTGCGAATTAAATCTCGGCCAGATGCACCATTTTCTCGTGGATAGGAAGACAAATCCACAGCACCCCTCGTTTGAGCTGTAAAGCGGGCATGTAGTGCCTGAGCTACAGCTAATTCCATGGTTGGAAAATAGGGCACTCCATGCTGAATAAATCCTTGCTTTGCATGCTCATCCAGCTTCTTTGTGCTATCTTTCCCAGGTCCAATCCATGAACTTTCTTCAAAACTCATGTTCTCTTCAACCACTACTTCCTTGTCTTTTTTCATTTCCAAGGCTTCTTCCCCTGCTTTGTTCACTTCCTTTTTTGTAGGTTTTGCACCAATTTGCTTGGAACAGATTTCCTTTTCTTTTCTTGCCACACCTCTCTTCTTGGACAGATCATTCCTAGCTCCTCTATTTCCCTGTTCAGATTTACTACAACCTTGGTTTGCCTGGCTTGTTAAGTCACCACGTTTTGCTTTTGTTCCTTCACCACTAATTTTAGACAATAATTCAGGGTCCCCAGGTATACTCGTGATGTTAGTTGGAATTACTCGATTAACAGCTAAAAAGTGCTCAACAAAGCCAAGAGTAAGTGAAAGCAAAGCTAGGTCAGGCTCAGGACGTGACAGTTCCCATTTGAACAGACTTATAAGTGATTCCAGGGAGCAGAGTGGGAAAAATGACTTCTGGGTGGGCAGAAGTCCCATATTTGTTAAGCTGTACCTGTGTGGAAAAAAAATGATGAGCATATTTGTTAGACAAAATGCAATAACAAATGGAATAATAAATATCTTATATGCATTAAAGGAGAACTATGGGGTTAGTGCTTTTCCCCATAGTTCTCCGAAGGGTAACTGTTACCCGTTGTGAGAGGCCGCAGCTGAAACGGATCTCGACAATTATGTCTGGATCCGCCCAGCTGGCTCTGCCTATCTAGAGGCAGAGCCAGCTGTACCCGCCCCCTCCCCCGTCCGTTCCGCCAGTCAGCGCTGGAGGATCGGAGCGGGGAGGGGGAATCCAGTCCCTCCCCTGTCACGGCTCTCTGCCGTGACAGGATCGAGAAGTGAGCGAACACCGGTATGTGTTCGCTCACTTCCCGATCTACAGTTTCGTTGTCACAGGTCGGCTAGAACTATGAGGATGAGTGAAAAGCACTCACCTCATAGTTCTCCTTTAAAGATACTGCTAGAAAAGAAATAGACAAATAATGTAAATGTTAATAAAAACCATCTGATTAAAAGAAAAAAAAAATATTTCCGAGACTAGTGGTAACTTATGGAAAACGGATGTCATTATGGATGTCATTTTTGCTAAATGGCGCAATACCAGCCTTTGAGATCAAGGGTGCATTTACATTTCCCACAATACACTATCACATATATTGATATTTTTGTTGAATAAAGTTTGAATGACGATCTAATGTTTGCCTGTTCAAATATGTTAAAAAATAAATATTCAGCAACCCCATAGGGGTTCTGAAAGTACACATACCCTTTCAGCCATTTTTTTGCACGTGTTATATACCTTAAAACTACTTAAAACCCCCCAGAATTATATATTTCCTGAAAGCAGACACCCTGTAGTATAAAATGGTGGCAAATGTTTGTCTCATATCAGCGCAACTCTTTATCAAACCAAAAAAATACAGTAAAAAATACACTTATCTTAATTTCAGTACACAAAATCACAATATAATACCCAATTTTTTTTGTAAAATCTAAAAGTTGAGGTTGTGCCGAGTAAATATATACCAACATGCCAAGCTTCAAAATTGCGTGCACCCAGTGAAACAGTGAGAAAATACGGTACCCCAAATTGTCCATAGATGACGCTTTAAAGGCCTGTACAAGTCATCAGTTTACAATTAACTAAATATTGGCCCCAGAATTATTGTTTTCACTCTGGCACATGCAGCAATACCCAATATGTGTGACACAATGGACGTTTTTATACATAGGCGCACCCAATGTGGGTTTGCGTTAGTATGTGTGTAATTGTGGGGACAGGGGACTTCTGAAAGTATTTTTTTTTGGGTGTTTTTAAACTTATTTTATTTTTATTATTTATTTATTTTACTTTCAAAGTCTTTTATTTGTTTTCATAATTATCAGCATAGACAAACAACCATTCATATATTTCCCAATATCATTGACAATTTTTCTTTCTTTGCCTTTCGACAAAAGTGTTCCTATTTTATCACCATGCGTATAAAATGTATTATCCGACCACATAATACTTCTCTCAGCCTTTGTAGTTAACATCAAGTTCAATTCTAAACTGATTTTAATCAATAGCGTTTAAAAGTTGTATTGATGGAGTTACCTTATGAGCTTTACACAGTTTCTGGAGTTCTACATCTAACTCGTTTATGCGTTTATTTGCCCGTTTTTTGATGCTAGTGGCCAATTCTATAAGGCAACCCCTAATTTTAGCTTTGTGAGCAGCCCATACCACAGTAACCGACATATCGGGTGTCTCATTAACCCCTTCGTGACGGGAGACGTACAGTGTACGTCCCGTCACAAAGTGGCTATATGACTGGCCACAAAATAATCCTCTATATGTGAATTTCCATTTGTGCCTCTAAACTATTTAACAAATATTCATTCAATCTCCAACATCGTGTTTTCATTATATCCGTAACTGCAGAACATCCCATCACCAATATTGAGTGATATGACCATACTGCCTCCTTAATTTTAACAAAAGAGACCAAAAAGGTACAAAAAAAGCTGAAACCAAACAGTGATCAATCCTTGCATAACTTTGGTGTACTTGTGAAAAACACGTGTAATCTTTACCCGTGGGATTTAATTCCCTCCAAATATCTATTAAAGAGTGAGAGTTTAATAATTTCGCAAACTGAGTGCTTGCTTTCGGTGGATATCTCGTTCTATAGTCACCTGAGCTGGTTCTATCGAGGCTGCTATCTAAAGCAAGATTGGAGTCCCCTGCACAGATTACCACACCCTCAAAATGTGGTGATAATTCACATAACATGGCAACAAAAAACGAAATTTGGCCAGAATTAGGTGCATAGTATGATATTAATGTAACCAACTTATCATCTAAATATCCCTTCAAAAATAAATATCTACCCTCTGGGTCCTTAATCTCCAAAGAGCGAAAACTGGTTTGAGTGGAGAAACAAATGGCCACTCCCTTGGTTTTATCTAGTGCATTACCCCGAAAAAACTGCGGGTAATGTGTGTTCATATATTTAGGTTGATAGTTTGCAGGAAAATGAGTTTCTTGTAGAAACAAGATCCCAACCTTTAATGAATGATAATACTGGAAAGCCATTTTCCTCTTTGTAGGAGAATTCCATCCCCTAACGTTATGAGATGCAAACACTACTGTGTCTTAACTGTCATCAAAACAAGCTCCCAGTTGTATATTAGGTCCCGGAGCTGACCATCGGGCCTGCTTATCCCAGCTCAGATATACCTTATGGATTGGGTGAATCCATCGGAGTCTAAAATATGATTCAGAAGGGGGGAAAAAAAAAACAACCATACATATTAAAAAAATACATACAAAACCTACAAAAAACATATACAACCCAACACAAATCTTGGGCAGGTTCACCTCCTGCCCTCCCAATCTTCAAGGATATTGACCCCATGTCAACACACGATTTGACCTCAATCCTGGGAAATCCCGAGAACCAGGTCAAATAAAGGTCCCCGCTCCTCATTGAATGTTATTATATACATTTTACAATTTCTTGCTAAAGAAAAATACAGACGAGAAAAGACAACACCCCCTCTAACTCCTTCCACCTGAAGGAGATGACGATCTTCCCTGTGATTTATGCCACATAGGAGATATTGGGCGAGGTGCCATATGCTCAGCCCAGCCCCAAATGCAATGCTTCCAAATCCTCAGGGAGCAGTCCCAGCTGTCTCATCTTCAGAGTATAATGTAATGGAATAGGGCTTACTCCTAAAAAAAAACCTAAAGGGGAACGCCCACCTATATTTTATTTCCTTAGATATTAAGACCTGTAGCAAAGGTTTCAAAGTGCGCCTTTTTTGTATTGTAGCAGGAGAAATATCAGCAAAGATTTGAATAGAATGTCCTGACATAAGAAGCTCTGAACGTTGCCTAGCACTTTGCATAATCTGTTCCTTTATATTATAAAAGTGTGGTTTAACGATAACATCTCTAGCATGTCCGTCAGGTCTCTTAGTCATGAAAGCATGATGGATTCTATCCAACTCCAACTTCTGGTCTTCCACTTCTGGTAATAAATCTTTCATAAGAAGCTTCACATTCAATTCCAAATCAGTCACCTTTCAGGGAGACCCCTAATACGAAAGTTATAACGACAAGATCTATTCTCCAAGTCATCAACTTTAGAAAAAACTTCATCCAATTGATTCTGGAGATGCCGTATATCCATCATGTTTTGATTAGTACGCAATATAGTTTTATCCAATTTTTCTTCCAAAAAAATCTATATGCATACCCAGCTCTCTGATGTCAGATCTAATCTCAGTAGTGATCTGTTTGGCCATTTTATTCAGCCCTTGTTCCAGCATTTCTGAGAACCGCATTAAAATATGATTCCCTTCCATCCGTCCCCCCATGTCCACCTCAGCACTAAGAGGGCTAGAGGCGAGAGAGGCCTGTTGTGACAGGAGCATATCTTCTAGTGTCCTCTTAATTAATGAAGTTGAGGCAGGGGAGTGCTCCCTTCTAGACTGGGTACTCACTGCTGCCTTCTTCGTAGAAGCCGACTCATCTCCTCCTTTCTGTATAGTGTCATTGCCCCCACGAGGGCTCGGCACCGCCGCCATCTTTACTTTGCTGCTTGCTGTTTTCGAGCCCGCCCGGGGCTGCGTGACCTTCTTCTAGGACCTTCCCCCGGCCATCACGAACTGCCAGTCCAAAGAGAAGGATCCCCACAGCACTCCATGGTATAGAGTACCAGTGTTGTCTTCTGTGGGAGCGAGGATTCAGATCCGTCTATGAGCGGAGCAGACACCCGGCCCGATGAGCTCCGCGCATGCGCCCCTTTTTATTTAATTTTTTAACTTATTGCTTTTACAATTTCCAAATTCATTTCTCACTAAAGCCTAGAGAAGAATTTGAAGTAGCAACCTTGAAATGGTCCTAAGGAAGGGAACCGAATTTCAAAGTGTTATCCTCTGAATAGTCTTAATGCAAAACCCCAACATATTCCTCCACAAAAATTCCACCCCTCAACTCTTTAGGGTTATGGGTACACCTGAATCGATTTAAAGGCTTAGTGCCCTTGAGAAATTCAGTTTTATCTTTATCCAAAGTCTCATCTTGGGGGGAAAACTCTTTATATCTTAAGAGCAGTGCTATCCCCTACCTCTAAATCAGGATTAGTCCAAATTCATGTGTGGCAAAATACAAAGAGCAGAGAGCGCACCAACAGAATCTAGCAATTAAATTTAATGAAGATAAATTTACTAATCAAATGCACTCGCAAGTGGTGTTCCTCCCAATTCCTAGGTCAAAGTTTCAATGGGTTTCTAAGGTGACATGTTTTGAGAAGGAATGCACTTTTTCAAGCACGGAAAACCGAATAATCCTTTGTTCATTTTAAACAGTCTGGCAAGACAGGTGGAAAACATGCAATTACCACCGGATACTGTTAGAGAGCCAGCACAGTTATTTATTTAAGAGATGACCCTTCATTCATGGGTACTAATGTATTGAAAACTTATCTTGGAACATTCATGAAA